AAAAAAAAAAAAAAAAAAAAAAGTCGGAAGCTGCTGGCTCCTCATTTCAGTCTTTAACTTCAGCTTACTAACAGTAAACACTGCAGCTTACAACTAGCAAGCCACTCAGCTCGCCTGCCCTGTGGAAGGAGATACGCCAGAGGCTGGCGCAGCCTGTGGGTGTTGTCAAGCTCAGCGTGCCTCCAGAGGCATGGGCCACCTCCATACCCCTCAGAGTGCGGCTCCCATCCTGAAGGTCGGTGCCTGTGGGCTCCGGGGAAGCATGGAGCCCGACCTGGAGGAGCTAGTCAGGTCGGAGCAAAGGCGGCGAAGGCTCATTGTGTCATTGGTCTTGTGGGGAAGAAAAACCCTGCACACTTGCCGCTGCCTTGGTGTGCCCAAATACAAGAGGATTATGGTTTTCAAACTCTGATGCGGAGGGAGTGTGAGTGCAGAGCACATGGGAAGAGGACCCTGCCCTCACCCTGGGCCAGGCCTGTGCTGGCAACACACATTCTGTGTTCAGTCCTGGAATTCAGGAGAAGTGAAATTTCTCTAAAAGGATGTGTAAGCATGAAGTCTGTGTTTCTCACAGTACTTCCGGAATTACTGCTGTAGCCCTGAGGATGATGCACAGCAGGCAAGTGGAAATTGCAGACAGTTATACAGCTGGTCTCTGGTTTTCTCTGTGGTTGCCTGGAGAGGAGATGGTCCTTTAGGGAGGAGTTGAAAGTGTAGACCAGTGCAGAGTGCAGTGGCAGCAGGAAGTACTTGTGTCCCTGCCTGAGGCCGCTGGGCTGAGAGAGCTCAGCCTTCACTCACCATACATGGTTCACTGCTCTAAGAGACGGGACAGACCAATGGAAAGCAGAATTCCTATGAGGTTTTAGGTGTACACCAGCTCAGTGGACTTCCGTCCCAAGGCAGAGTGTTGAACAAAGAGAAGTTCTAGCTTTTATATATTTTGTGGGGGTGGGGGGTTTGGTGACATAGCAAGTGAGTTTACCAAAACAGGAGAAGGGCAGACAGTTTTATAATTTAGCCTTATAGAAAGACAGAGCCTTATAAATCTTGTGAGAATAAGACCACATAATCTTAGTTTATAAGGTGACATAATCTTACTTTAAAAGAATAGTTGCTTTTTTTTTGGTACGAAGGGGGCGTCAAACTCTGGACCTTGCACTTGCAAGGCAGGCAGCAAAACCACTGAGCTAAATGGCAGGCCCTATAAGACATAGTTGCCAAAACAAACACTTTCAGGAACAGGAGAGAGGGGTAAGGGAGGGTGGAGTCTGTCCGAGACTGAAGAAGACTTGTTTTTCTTAAAGTCCTGCTTCAAAACCAGTTGCAGGTAGCTGTTTTGTCTTATTATAATACTAAAAGTCTACACAGGGAAATGGTGCACTGTGAAGGTGTGTGCAGTTGTATTTTCCATCTTGCTGTTTGTCTCCTTGCTGAGACACAGCACCTGACACCCACAACTCTGAGGAGGAGAAGTTTATTTTGGCTCACAGTCTGTAGAAGTTTCAGTCGGTGGTTGGCTGGCTCCAGGGCAGGGCAGCGTGGCAGAGGGGCACCACCGAGGAGAAACAGTCCACAGCATGGTGGACAGGAAGCAGAGAGAAACCAAGGGGGGTGGGAGTCCCTGTGACACTCCACCGGGCTCCGTCTCCAACCAGTCCACCCATGAGTATCACCCCCTCATCCAGTCACCTGCAAAAGCCCCAGCTGTGAGTGTACGAAGCTTTGGGGAGCTGTCTGGATGGAAACCGTAACTCTTGGCTTCTGGCATCTTGAGACTGTTTTGTGCGTATTAGAAGTTACCTTTGCTTCCACAATTTAACTTAATACTCAGTTTTTTTAACTTTTCCCTACTATGTGATAGGCCATTTCATTAAACCCTGTAATACCACCGGCACAGATTTTTCCCTTGTCAGTAAAGGCCTCACATTGATGCACTTAAGGCACTTGAAGTGTCCTTGTGGTGATAAAGATTGATTTTGTTACTCCTCGTGCTCCAGGGACTGGCGGTGGGTGTGGCTTTGGGATACAGGTGTCCTGAGGTGGGCTGGGTTGAGGGTGCAGGGTGTCCCGGCCAGGTGCCAGGGCTCCCTTCACCTCGAGCCTCATCTACTGCCTTCTTGTAGCAGGGCACATCTTCCCCAGCTGAAGCCTCTGTCTGGTGCGCAGCACTGCACCCAGCTGGGGAAGTGGGGCAGAGGTCAGTGCGGAGGTGGCAGAGCATGTCCCCATGGCGATGGCGTGGCTGTCTGGCCTCTGCAGCAGCAGGACTGTAAGGCCCTGTGGGCCTCACTGCTGTCCCCAGGCCAGGTCCTGCGATGTTCTTGGGAAATGTTTTAGAAAGCACAAGACCCTAGAACGGGATGTGGAGCTGTGAGTCCTGTGAATATGCACACGCACCAGGAAGTAGCTGGGCCGCTTGTCGGTGCTGTTGGGCTCTGAGAGTGGGGGACCACAGAGGACTTACTGCGCAAACACTAGATGACTCTCTGGGAGGCGGCTGTGGAGGGCAGTCCGGGATGCTGAGGACTTGATTTTGCTTAGATTCTGGAGGTACCTTGGTTTCCCTGCTGTGTCCTGGGACTGTGTGACTTGGTGGGATGCAGCCTGGCTCCAGGGCCCAGTGTGCTCCTATGGGGCCTCTACACTGTCCTCTGTCCTTCTCCGGGGCTGCTTGAGGGCTGCTCGGAGATGGCCGTGTCATCTCTCGTCCTAACCGCCAGTGTCTTCTCTCTCCTCCTGCACCGCCCAGCGAGGAGCTCGGGGAGTTCATGGAGACAAAGGGCGCCAGCAGCCCTGGAATCCTTGTGCTGACCACCGGCCTGAGCAAGCCGTTCATGCGCCTGGACAAGTACCCCACGCTGCTCAGGGAGCTGGAGAGACACATGGAGGTGCCACTTCCCTTGGGGCCTGGTGTCACCCTGCTGTTAGGTGGCCAACAGGGGCCGCGCAGTTTACTCAGGGCTGTAATCTCTGGATTTTCAAAATGATTTTGTCACACATAGTTTCCCTCCTGCCCAGTTCTGTGAGAAAGCGTTTGCCTCCTCACCTCCTCACTCCGTCTTCCACCACTGTGACCGAAAGGGTTCCAGAATCTGGAGAACGTGGCTGGTTTTCAGATGGTGCAAGGAATGAGTAGCTGCAAACAATCAGCACTCAAGTTACAGTAGTGACAGAGTCATGTAGGTTAGGGCGGTGTCTGCAGGCCTGGCAGACGTCCGGCAGCTGCCTGCTGCCCTGAGGCCGGGGTGGGGTGGCCTGACTGGGAGGGTGGCCGTGCTTCCCTGCGGCCTTACCATAGAGCAGTGCTGCTGCTGCCCTGCTCTTGGCTGTTGGTTCCCCTGCTCGTTGGTCCCACGCTTCCTCACAGAGGGGAGAAGGGAGGGCACACTGAGGGCTGACGTGTGTGAAAGGGAGAAGTTTCAGGCCAGCCAAGGAGAGCGCCTCTGTGAGAAAACTTGGATTGTGAAAGCTGATTGTGCATTTCTTTCCTCCAAAGGATTATCATCCCGATAGACAAGACATTCAGAAATCTATGACTGCCTTCAAAAACCTCTCAGTAAGTGATTAAGCATATTATGTTTTCCCCCAGACATTACTGTATCAAGTGAATGTAGAATCAGCAGGCAGCAAAATTAGATGATAAAATAATTACTCGTGAGCTGAAGTAAGTGTTCATTCAGATGAAATAATGAAGAGTGTGTAGTAGATTTCATGGCTTGTATTCTCTTGCTGGAGTGGACTGGAGACACCAGAAAGCTGTGACAATTGTCTCGACCTGAAAAAGCGCCGCCGCTTCCTGCTGTAGTTACAGGGTCCCCTTGCTTCGCCCCCAGGGCCATGGTGCTGCTGGGTGGGGCGCAGTGGCAGCTCTGTCTCTGTCTCTGTTTTCTGACGCTGCGCCTTACTTGTGGCCTCCCTTGTACTTACCCTTCTCCTCCTCCTCAGTCTTTTCCGGTGGCAAACACTAATTAAGCCAGAACGGAAATATTTTCTTGTCTGCTGCATGTTTTTATTCTTCCTAGAAGCTATCAAATCTGTGATGTTTTTCTGAAATAATGTACTTGTGCATCTTGCTTCTCTTGATGCCACGCATTGAAGCACATGTGTAACCCGTACAGGTGAGCCAGGCATTCCGGAGATTATCTCAAGCAGCATGTGAAGCAGTAATTGCCTTAAGCAGCAGTGTGGTCGGAACATGAGATTCCGGAACCTTCAGTGTCTGAAGATTTCTGTGTTTCGCAGGTCCAGTGTCAAGAAGTCCGGAAGAGGAAGGAGCTTGAGTTGCAGATTCTGACGGAATCCATCCGGAGCTGGGAGGGAGATGACATCAAGACGCTGGGCAATGTTGTTTACATGTCACAGGTCATGATTCAGTGCGCAGGGAGCGAGGTACGTGGCCCTTGTGTGACGCATCAGCTCTGTGCCGCTCTAATACTGTCTTGTGATAAGAACGCCTGGCTTCGGTCCTGAGTGTGCTCCACTATTCATCCTTGATGAGGCAGAGAGGCTTAGAGTTCAGTAGAAAGGAGCCGAGAGCCCAGTGTGGACTGGCTTAGGCCCATAGGCTCGGCTTGGCCCAGGAGTGGAGTCTGTTCCCTGTCTTAGTTACTTTTCTCTCTTTGCTGAGACAAAATACCCAGCACCCAAAGTTAAACGAGGGAAGGTATATTGTAGGTCACAGTTCATAGTTGGCTGGTTCCATGACAGGTTGGCATGGCAGAAGGGCATCACAGACACGGAGGAGAATCAGTTTATGGCCGGCAGAAGGCAGCAAAGCAGCGAAGTAGCAGGGCAACGGAAAGTGACAACAGCAGCCCTTTTTCTGTTCCTTACATTTTATCCAGGCTCTCCGCGGGCCTTAGGGCAGGTAGCATTCACACCCAGGGTGGGACACCCTGAATCCTGGCATTGCATCACAAATCAGTCCCAGCATCACACGCTCTAGATCCAACCACCTCCACAAAATTCCACCGCTAACTGCAAGAGGCTTTAGGGGGACATCTAGACGCAAGCCAGAACAGACCCTTCCCCTTCCCGTGAACCCATACTAATTAGTATTTGCTGAGAGGAGTCACAGGTTCCTCATGGGTCTGAGGAAGGAGGAGTTGAAACCAGGTTCTTGTGCTAATCCCACCCTGTGAAAACGGAGCAGTTCATATCTCACGGTTCATGTGCTGTGTGTGCCTTGGATCACTGAGCAGGCAGGATCTTCCTTCATTTTATTTTGTCTTTGCAAAACATATTCAACAAGAGCAACACTGAACTTCTATTCACAATGTGTGTTTCTCCTCACCCATAAAGTTTCGAAATACCACCCTCTTTAGAGATGAAGCTCTGACAGTTTGGACACTACGAGAAATCACGACTTATTCACCACATTAATACAACCCCCCCACATCTCTCCTGCAGTGTTTGTTAATAGTGTGATTTTAAACTTTAAGCCAGTCTGTGGAAATATTTCCCAAAGTGTGTCCTTGTAGCATAGACTGTCAGCGGTGGTGGGTACTCCTACATGATTGAGAGCCCTCAGGACAACACTTCGAGCCTTTGCTCAGGGGGTCCCCGGCCCAATCTGCAAGTCTTCAAGAGGAGAAGCTCACAGGTCGCTCCCAGTGACTTCCCTAAAATAGAGGTCCTTTTTCCGGAGGTGCTTTGTGCTGGGGTGGTGCTCGGGGACCTCTTCCTGGTGTAGACCCGACCCTGGGCAGTGCTCACTGAGAACAGGAGCATCTCGTGTCACCCTTTCTGGGTCTCCTTTTAGAGTCTCGGGAATTTTTGTCTTTTAGGTGTGGTCTCTTCAGTTTTGTTCCTTTATTGAAACACATGCTTCCTAGTACACAGTGCTGCTTTCAAGTCCTTCCTGTAGGCTAAGAGTTTATGGGATGGACAAGAACAGTGTTTCATTGGCAAATTGAGCGCTAGGGAGCGGCCAGGAAAATGGAGAAACCAGAGTTTCTGCCCACGGTTGTGCTGTCCTCCTCAGGCATTACCCTGTCCCCATTAAAACTTGGTGAGTTCTTGTTACTTTCCTCCTGAACCATGAAAATTTTAGATGCACTGGATACTTAAAGGCTGAGACAAATTCCTTCCTCTGTTAGCTTTCAGAGCTACTGTACAGATAATCATTGAGTTTACATTGGTGTCTGCACTCACAAACTGGATTCTCTCCAGGATACTAGTCGCAAACTGAACTGGCAAAGAACCGAGTCAGACTGCCCCACGAGGTCAACACGGAGCCTAACCATTGACTTTGATTCGGTTCTCATCCAGTGTGGATTGTGACCAGAATCACAGAAAGAATCGAGTTGGTGAGCCAAGATACTGCCGCATCCTCACTTTGAAGAACTTAGCAACCCATGGCTTTTACCCAGTTGCCAAAATTTTCTCAGTCACACATTAAGACTTAACTTAAATTCATCACTTTTGTTTCCATTTAGTTTGCTAATACGATCTGGTAGAAACACCTGGACAGGAAACAGTGAAATATAGGATAAGGTTTCTCAGGGCCTAATAGCAAATAAATACTGTGGAGGGTTAGGGGTTTAGCTCAGTGGTTCTGCCACCTGACTCACAAGAACAAGGTCCCGAGTTCAATCGCCGGTACCCAAAAAGTAAACAAAAAATAAAAATAAATATTGTGGACACATTTGTATTTGTAAATAGATGTGTTTTTAAAAATGGGTTTTTTATACTAGGAAAAGAACGAAAGATACCTTCTCCTCTTCCCGAACCTCCTGTTAATGTTGTCTGCCAGTCCCAGGATGAGTGGCTTCATTTACCAGGTAAAACACCTTTGGATTCAAATTTCGGTGCTCTCGGTAGATCTGAGATTCCTTTTCTTGGCTTTGAACTTGGGCCGTGTGTGCTGCTCTGAGTTCAGGTGTGTCCCGCTGTGACGTGTGTCCTGGTGTTCTTTCTCCATCCGAAAGGAGGAAGTGTCGGGACAGAGCACCTGTGAGGACACGGGTGGCTCAGCCTCCGAGGCCCCTGTGCCCGTGTCACCTCCTGCACAGCACCTTGCTGTGCTGAGGCTTTGCTTTCTGTTCTGCGGAAGGGAAGGGGCCGCAATGGGGCTTCGAGTCAGTGGGTTGGGCGGGCCAACCCCTGCCAGCCCCTGGCATCCTTGGATACACGGCACAGGTCTCAGGGTCAGCTCGCCTGCACCATACACTTCTCTGCTTTCCTGGACTTGGGGGAGTGCAGGGGCTGTGTCCTGTCCCCACTGCACATCCGGGAGGTGACCCTGTAGAAGCCATGCCTGCTCATCCCCTACTAGAGCCTAGCCGGTCTTCAGGGACTCCTGGGACGGAAGCTGCCACATGTTTTTCGTGTTGACCCACCAAGGACGACAGTCTTTTGAGTTGAAGCCGATGTGGCTTGTTCCCCTCCTGAGGAGGCTGCATCTGCTCACAGGGAGGGCTCGTGGCTACACGGCTGACAGAAGTGGTGAAGCAGGGTGCGGACGCTCCCAGGACCACAGCACCTCCGTGTGGGGGCTGCTGTCAGGAGAGGCACCTTATAGCTCTCCTCGCTCAGGCCCTGAGGAACCCTGAGACTGTGGCCTGTCCCTCCCACTCTTTCTGCTTCCAGTTGCCTACCCCAGAGCCCCATGCCAGTGCCAGCTGAAGGTGGGCCCTGCTCCAGCTCGGGGGAGAGCCGGCTGCTGGGGGCCGGTCCCCTGGGAGGCTGGCACTCGCTTGGGAGCCCTTGCTCTTGTGTTGGAGTTCCAAGGCCTCTCTGGCCTGGCTCAGCGAGCCCGGTCACCAGCACTCGTCTCTCTTCTTGGGTTATGTGGTCCCCAGCATGATTTCTGTGCGATGACTCGGGCTGTTGAAGCACTGTGTGCGCCTGCGGTCTTGGCGAGGAGTGCAGCCTGCACTTCCCAGATCTGTTTGGTCACAGCCGCGTCGGGCAGCATGCCATCCTGCCCCCGCTTCGGGGACGGCTCCCCGGCCTCCTGCTGGGGGCTTCTGGGAAGAAAGTGCTCTGAGTGCCTAGGGGCCAGGCGAGCCTGGCCTCTGCCCGCTGGGGGTCAGCAGCGCCTGCTAGCTCGTGACCTTGCCGTGGGTCCCATGGGGCAGATCCCACGTTCCTGTCCAGAAGCGCTGCTTCCCGGGTGCTGATAGACTCCTGCACCTGGCTGAGAGCTGTTTTGAGGTGCCCCACCAGAACACCCGTGGCCGTGTCCGGGGGTGCATGAGCCAGGCTGTTGTGTGTCTCCCCGCACTGGGGGCCTTGATGGTGTGCGCGTCTGCGCATCCCTTCCTAAGCCGTGAGCATCTAGCACAGCCTCCTGTCTTCTGTCTGGTGGCCCACAGTGTGTAGCTACCACGCGGTCCTGTCTGCCTCAGCTCCATTCCACTGTTTCCTTCAAAGCCGGAACCTCCCCTTTGTTTGCAGGGCAGGCACCCATCCCTTTCAGGAACGTGGCCCTCGAGGCAGCAGCTGTGTGCTGTGGTCTCGTCACTGTGCGACGTTTCTGTGACCTGCCAGACAGAGTCATTGGTTTGGGGCTCTGCCTTTCTTCTGAGTGCTGTGTCTCTCATCCAAGACGGGCTGTGCGGTGGTGCACGCCCTGCTGTGAACAGGCTCATCCCCGGCTCACACGGCTCCTCTGCCACATCTTAAGTCACTATTTATTTTAATGATGGATCCTTTACTGGAAAAGCACTAATTGTATTTTTTTGTGTGTGGTGGGGGGTCTCTTTTAGGGAAAGCTGCCGACGACAGGAATGACAATCACAAAGCTTGAGGACAGTGAACATCATAGAAATGCCTTTGAAATAGCAGGTGATGGGCACAGCTGTGTGAGTGCCGCCCTCTCCCAGATGCCCGGCCCTTGGGTGTCCTTGGGCGTGTCTTGCTGGGGACCCGCGGGGTGCTGTTCAGCGTGGCCAAGTCCACACGAGCAGTGGGCATGTGTACGTGCGAGTGCCCTTCAGCCTCCTCCCTGGCTGTCCTGTGCAGGGAGCATGATCGAGCGGATCCTCGTGTCTTGCAACAACCAGCAGGACCTACACGAGTGGGTGGACCACCTGCAGAAGCAGACGAAGGTCACGTCCGTGAGCAACCCCACCATCAAGCCTCACTCCGTGCCGTCCCACACCGTAAGGGCGCCTGCCTGGGGTGGTGGGGTGCAGTGTCCGGGGCTTCCTTGCCCACCCACCCGGGCAGCGGTCCTGAGTAGAGGAAGGAAGCGGGTATGATTCGGGACTATAGTTATGGCTTATTTAAAAGAAAACAAAAAGTAAAAGATAATGCGGATGGAAAGGACTAGCTTCATTTTGAAGGCATTAAAGTATTTTTCACTCACTGTTTTAAGAAAACAATTGTTTTTCTTTAAAAAAAGCTCAGCAGCTCTGAGGTTTTTTAGAGACAAACCGCTTCAGCGCAGAGCAGTGCCGGTGTGGCAGTGTCGGTCTCCGATGTGCCGGCGCTGTGCGCTGAAGAAAGGGTGCCTTGGGCCTTGTGCTGAAGGGGCTTGGAGTCTGCAGAGCGTGCCCTGCCCTTCAGGGCTGTTCTCACCACTTCTGCCCTGCAGCTCCTTTTCCTTTGCCAGCCTCTGTGCCCAGGCCATAGCGCTCTCCCCGCTCCGCCGCCGTGCTCACTCGGAGCACTGCAGATCAGAGCGCTCCCCGCCTCAGTTCAGCTGTCCTGGGGAGGAGGCCACTATCGCAGCCGCTTCATATGGACGGGGGTCTGGCATCTTGGTGTGCCCCTGCGTGCCACCTTCAGCAGGGAGCTGTGCCAGGGGGACTGTACCTCCTGGGCCAGCATCCTGGGGATTGTGCCGTACCTCCTGAGACCCCAGCCTGTGCAGCCCAATCGTACTGTCGATGTAGCATGAGGCATCCCTCGTGGGATGTGAATTTGTGTGCTGGAGGACTGCTTCACCCTGCTTTACCCCTGAGAAGTTAGTCGGAGGTGGCAGGGGTGCAGTGGTGTGGCCCAGGACTGCTCCCAGGACTGGTGGAGAGCAGTGGCTTCTCAGCACTGGTGTGGCTGCTGTGGGGCCAGCCCTTGCTGCTCCTGTTTGCATTTTTGGTGAGGACTGCAGCCAGATTGTCAGTGCCTGGCCCTTTGCCCACTCTCCCACTAGATGCCTTCTTATGGTGGACCAGCGGACTCTGAGCGTTAACTGGATTCATTTTACATTTTCCTATTTCGCTGTCAGGCTCAGGGATACTTTTTATTTTTCCGGGAATTTACTGTATGAGTCACCCGCACTAATGAGAAATTAGGTTTTTGTAATTGTTTTCATAAAGATGAGCCTTCCAGGAGAATGCCTTGTTTTATCCCAGAGATTGAGGTCTGTGAAGAGTTGGAGGGCACCCCTCAGACAAGTTTCCTGCAGCCAGGCTTTGCCCTTTGTGTGAGCGGCAGAGAGACACACGGCACGTGGCTGCAGGGTCAGGACGTGCTCCTCCCCCTCTGCCTGTGAGCCTGGCACAGGGTGCACGGTGTGACTTTCTCTACCTCTGCCAGGCAGTGGCTACTCCCGATGGCACTCGGTCCCCCAGCAGGGCTGGACCTGAGGTGCAGTGGACCTGAAGCCGACAGTGTGGGGAGCCCGTGCCCAGGCGAGCCTCCTCCCAGGCTGGCAGCGAGTACAGAGGTGGCCGTGGCCGCCTGGTCTCAGGCTCTCTGCTTCCTCCCTTGCCTGCAGCTCCCTTCACACCCCATCACACCGTCCAGCAAACACGCGGACAGCAAGCCGGCATCGCTGATGCCCGCCTACCACACGCTGCCCCACCCCTCCCACCACGGCCCGCCACACACCACGATCAGCTGGGGACCCCTGGAGCCCCCGAAGACTCCTAAGCCTTGGAGCCTCAGCTGCCTGCGGCCGGCGCCTCCCCTGCGGCCCTCAGCTGCTCTCTGCTACAAGGAGGTGAGGCCGCCTGGAGTCCTGTGTGGGCTTCCATTCCATCGTCCCTCGTCCACTGTGCTGTGTATGGGAGGGACCTGAGACCCACAGAAAGCGCACGCTGTGCGTGTGAGGACGAGTGGGCAGGCGTGTGGCTGGAGGTGTGAGCACAGCTGTGAGTGAGGCATGAAGATGAACGCGTTGTGAGCACTGTGTAGCCCTGAGTGCAGTGACGTGCAGTGGAGTCCCTTGTCCCCACCCAGGAAGAGCCCCGAGTGCTGCCAGTCCCCAGGTGACCCTGTCTCAGTCTGTCTCACCCACGATCTGGACTGAGATGCGGGCAGTCAGTGTCTGTCTCAGGCTGCTGCGGACACCAAGGCTCCTTGTCCCGTCCCTCTGTGTGGGCTCAGAAGACAAAGGGAGCCGACAGGCACAGCATCTGGCAGAGCTGCCTGGCGAGCGAGTGGAATGGCGAGGGTCCCGAAGGGTGCCTGTCTGTGAGCAGGAGGGAGCTAGCGCTCCTCACCCTGCCTGCCCGGTGGGCGGCGACATGAGGCTGTGGGTCCTCCTGTTTGTCACCTTTGCACCAGGGAGCCCTGGAGCCCACGCCACTCTGTTTCTTGCGTAGCTGTTTTTGTGGCATTTCTCGGTGCCTTTTAGACGTGTATGAGAGAGAGTGTATATCCAGCTCCGTCCCCTCTGCCTGTGCGTCCAGTCTGGCCCAAGGGCGGCACCCACCTCCTGCGCTCACAGCTGAGCGATCTGAGGCCGTGTCCCGCAGCTCCCTCTGCCCCGCAGGTGTGCTCTGCATTTTCACCGAGAGTTGGGGTGGCCTCCGCCTCCTCAGCACACCCCCAATGCACTGCCCTCCCTGTGTCCTTTGCTCCCCAGCCGTTTCACCCTGGCTTCCTCTTCCCTGTCAGCTCTGCTAGCTGGGCTCCTCCAGACTTGGCTGCCCCCTGCCCTTCCTCCTGCCACAGGAAAAGCACGGCCCTGGGACCCTTGTTACTGCAGGGCCAGCGCACTGTGACCGCTCCACAGATGGCTGTGAAGTGGCGCGTGTGGCCTCTGTGAGGCGCGTGGCTCTGCTGCTCGTTGACACCCTGCTCTCCCTGTCCCCAGGACCTCAGTAAGAGCCCCAAGACCATGAAGAAGCTGCTCCCGAAGCGCAAACCTGAGCGGAAGCCTTCGGATGAAGAGTTCGCCTTGCGGAAAAGTGAGTGCAGGGCCGGGGGACATGCGCGTGCGGCTTGCTGTCCGCTGAGGTCTCCCCGCCCCAGACTCCAGGGAGCTGCGACCCCCCACCCCAGTTCCCACTGAAGTGGGTGCTCGGGCAGCTTTGGGATGTGTGGCGCTGCCCTGAGATGGCTGCTCACAAGCAGGGAGGGCACAGCCTGGGCCCTCGCCTGCTCAGGCGACACGTCCGGGTCCTTCCTGGGTCTGCAGGCCCTGGGTCACCGCACCTGCCTCCACTCCCACGAACCTTGGGGCTCTTTTCAGAAGGGGTTGTGGGGAGCAGAGTGCGCTGGCCCACACGGGGAAGGCTCAGAGAGGCCCAGAAGAGGGGAGATGTGCCGGCTGACAGAGTCCCGGGCCTGAAGCAGCCCTTCCTCTGGTAGGCTGGACTGTCGGTGGCCCTTTTGGGAGGGATGGCTGTGCTCCTTCTGAGGGATGTACACTTCTTTGTGCTGGTGCCAAGCCCTGTCCTCATGACGCACAGGCCTAGGAGACGAGACGGTGGCCTGAGCCAAGTGGGCGGACAGAGGCCATCAAGAGCCCTGATGAACAATGGGGCCATGCGCTGCAGAGGCCTTGTCTGTCTGCTACATGGTCTGTGGGCTGGGCACAGCACCGGGCCAGGTGTGCAGGAGGCACGCTAGTTGTCAGAGCTGGTGAGGGCGGCATGGTATTGAGTAACAGTGGGGTGCTGTGCAGAGTCCTGCATGCCCCTCACAATCCCCTGGCCCGCAGCAGCCCCAGGGTGGGGAGGGTCAGGCTTGTGCTGGGGTAGGTGCACCAGAGCCAGCCAGGAGGGCCTGGTGGGCACTGGACACATGGACTGCAGCCCTGGGTGGGTCCAGGCTGGGCTGGAGCTGCTTGTCTCCAAGTTGCAGGAGCTGCGTGGCTGGAGACACTGGGGGCCTTCTCCCAGGGAGCCGAGGGCCGGGTACTTGCTTGGATGCTCCCAGGCCCTGGGCACAGTGCTCTGCTGTCTAATGCAGTACGTGTTTGCCTCGTATGTGTCCTGTTCTCCTAAAGTTAATAGTGATGCTTCTTATCCAACTATGGATATTTAAGCTTCCTGTCCATGTTTTTACTAACATAAGTGAGCCATTTAAAGTAGATAAGGGCTGACTGAATAATACAGTGTGCTTAAATAAAAACTGGTATCAGTAGACACGCTGTGAATAAATCAGGTTCAGAATCCTCCCCCTCCCTTTGAGCACACTGATCCCATGGTCCTGGCCACTTCCAGCAGCAGCTCTGGAGTCCTCTTTGCTCTGAGAGTCTGTACCAGGTGTGATGAAAAATACAGTGCCTGCTACTGCTGAGTACTGTCCTCCAGAAAGGCAGCTCGTAAAATCTTGATGCTGTCCTCGTCCACCCTTAGTCACTGGATCTGGCACATTGTGACCCAGCTCTTCCCAAGGTCAAAATGACCTTGAAAAGGAAACATTTTGAACCCATTCAGGACATCGAGGCAGCCAGGACAGCACAGCTAAAGGCCCTCAGGAAAGAGGGCTCCCGCTGCTTCCTGTGTCTCCCTGCAGCCCTGAGGCTCAGCCTGTGTCCCCATGAAGGGTTTCCTATTTCCGTGGGAACCTGTGGCTGCGGGTTCAGCCTCATTCCTGTTGTGGGCAAGGCTGGCCATCATTCTGGGAACTGCTTGTTCCTGTGTCTTGCCCCCTTTATCAGTGTGGGTGGTGGTTGCCATGTCTCTTAAGATAAGTAAGGCACCCTTCACAGAGTTGAGGTCGGAACCCTTCACTCGCTGTGTTACACAGAAAAGATACTTTAGAAGGAAGAGTCCTTTGGGTTACAACCATGTGTAAACATACCGCGAGCAGCTCCTTGGGAGGGTAGAAGGGGTTCGTGTTGATGCCAGTTTGGGTCACTTTCTGGTGAGCTGGTGGTGGCGTGGGGACGTCCTCCAGGCATGGCGCGCACACCTGTCCGCAGGCACGGCTGCTCTGGAGGAGGACGCCCAGATCCTGAAGGTCATCGAAGCTTACTGCACAAGCGCCAAGACGCGGCAGACGCTCAACTCCAGTAAGTGAGCATCGTGCTGGGGCCCACGGGGCATCCTGGTGTGTGGGGGGTCTGGCTTGCACTGCTCTCGGTGAGCAAGGGTGCAGGAGGGCAGGGGCCGCGTGGACCCTGAGGTGGGCAGAGGCAGGCGGCACCATGTGCTCAGAGAGAGGCGCTAGGAGACGTGCGAGGCTGCGGCAGCCCAGCTCTCCCCAGCGGGCAGCACTGGGATGGGGTCGCTCTTGCTCTTTGAGCTTAGTGCTGTTGTCCTGAGTACAAACCTGGAGCAAGGCCTGTGTTGGCCTGCCTTTTTCCCTTTTAATATGTGGGAGTAAACACTGACTAATTTATTTTGTGGATTTGAGTACACAGAATTTACCTGTTTCTCACGTAGTTTCTTAAGTAAGAACATTTCCGTTTGTGGTGAGGACAGTAAGGTGGCTTTTAAGAATCTCCTTGCAGGTGAGAGGGCCTGTGACTGGTGTTTTGTTTTCCAGCTTTTATTTTCCTGTCCCTTTTTGTGTGTGTGAGGTGCTAGGGATTGAATCTGGAACCTCACACATATTAAGCAAGCAAACTACCACTGAGCTGTGTCCCCAGCCCTTTTTAAACTTTTATCCTGCGATAGGGTCTCACTAAATTGCCCAGGCTGGGCTTGACTGTATGATCCCCCTGCCTTGGCCTCCCATGTTGCTGGGATTACGGTCGCCAGTTACTGTGCCTGGCTTTTTAAAGAACTGGGTGATGTATATACTACTTTGGCATAAAAACCAGTTTCTGGTTAATGTTTTCGTTTGTTCCCTTTCTACACCAACTCGGCGAGCAGCCTGTCCCCTCTGTTTTCATCACCTGCAGGGCAGCACATCCTCTAGATTAGGTCAGCCCCGAGCTGTCCTCCACTGAAGTGTGAAGGCAGAGCAGTGGAGAACTGTGCCACCTCCCAGGTAGTGCTCGTGCATGGCCGGGAGCTCTGCAGCTCATCCTGCCCAGGACGGGGAGGCCTTGTGCCGGGGTCAGCGAAGCCCCTTCATTGTCACCCTGGAGAGGCCTCGGCGCCCTCGCAGACCGGGCCGTGTCATGTGCGGTCAGGCAGCAGTTTGTCCATTCAGGTTGTTAGGATCAGGAAAAGTGCGTTTCCGTAGCTTGCTGGTGATGGTTGTAGAGTATTCCATTTTTAGATTTTTAAGCTGAGCTTTTTTAGATTTTTAAGCTGAGCTTTTTCTCCTGGGTAGTGTCTCAGTTGCAGTTACTTGGAATGAAACGTGAAGCCATCGTCTCAGCAAGCACCCGGGCTTGTGTGCTCCGCTGTGTCCCATGTGGCCACCTGTCCTGTGGTGAGCGTCCGTGCCAGTGCCGGTGCCGGTGCCAGCCTGTGAGGGGCAGCCCGCATCTGGGTCCCCTCCTCCTGTGAGACAAGTGTCAGGAATGTGCTGATTTCGCTTTGAGCTGATCCGGCGGGGTCAGAGGCTCAGAGCAGGCCGGTCTCAGCCCAGCACGCTCAGGGCAGGCAGTGACAGGAGACGCATGCCCTGGGCGCCTGGTCTAGGCTCATGGAAGTGGTTCCCAGTGGAGCAGCTCCTCCCAGAAGTGTGTGGTGTGGTGGTGCAGTCTTTAGAAGGATCGTGTGTTGGACCAGATCCCCTCGGTGCCCAGAAGACTTTACAGGGCGAGTGTCTTTGTCCTGACTTCTGATGGGGCAGGGCCCTCACAGTTCTGTGTGGTTGGGCATAGAGGCTGCTCAGGCTCCAGGCTCCTGAGGGCACCCCTGTAGCCAGCCAGCCATCGGGGTATTCTGCTGTCCTGCCTCCTGCCCGCTGCCTCCTGCTGCCCACCCTCCTTTGAGCACAGTGGTACTGCCAGTTCAAGCCCGTCTTCCTGGTGGCTGAGGCCCTGCAGCAGGGTGGGTAGCTGCCCAGGCGGAGTGCGACACGCAGGGCGTCAGGTAGTGAGAGGCCAGGCACACTGAGTCTTCCCCTGGGAAGTACCCCATGGGGTAGGGTAGCTGGGTAAGGTAAGTTTAGCCCTGGCTGCTCAGAGATGACTGAGGCGGCCAGTCAGAGGTCCTGTGGAACTGTTTGCCATTTTAGTATCTGCATTTACGGAATGGAAATAATGTTCACCAGCTGAATAAGTTGTATCTCTTGCAAATAATGTCCTACAGGGGACTTAACAGAATGGGCTAATTGCAAGTGCTTACAGAACCATTGTTTGGACATGAGTGTAACTTGTAGGGTTATTAGGGGAGGGCTTTGTAGTGATATCTTTAAAAAGTAGCAGTTTGGAAACAGTATGATGACTTAGGTTTATTGGAATAATGATTAATTGGTTTGTTCTGATAGTTGTGCTAATAAGCTGGTTGTTAGAACCGAGCCATAAATAAGGAGAAACAAACATTGTTGCCATTTTTTTAACAATATTTTCTCTTTTCCTTCTCTTCCCATCACCTTTTGCTTTTGTTCCATGTTTTGGTTGTGGCTCTTCTGTCCGTCCCCTCACCCCACCTCTGCTGTCGCACCTGTCACTCCATCCCGTCTTAGCATGGCAAGGCACTGACCTGATGCATAATCACGTCTTGGCTGACGACGACCAATCAAGTCTAGACTCCTTGGGTCGTCGCAGTAGCCTTTCCCGTTTGGAGCCCTCAGACCCCTCGGAAGACTCTGAGTATGACAGTATATGGACAGCCCATAGTTACAGAATGGGTTCAGCATCTCGTAAGAGCTGTTGCTCATATATCTCTCACCAGAACTAATGCACTCTGAGCTTTTCTTAACAATGCTTGTTGTATCGCAGCCTGCTTTTCTTAGATGTTTTCTTGCTGTTCCTTGTCTCTTTTATGTGATACTTTAACAAACTGGAGAGTGTTCCTGGGTCGCCCCGGGCCTGGTGGAGGCGTGACTGCCACCTGCCGTGGGTGGTGGGTTCGCACGAGCCTGTACCAGGGCAGCTCCCAGCCAGCGGGGAGTTATTTTATAAAAGCTCCAGATGGTTTGGTTCTTTTATTCGCAGTGCAGCAACTGTCTCATTTCTCTTTTGGATACAGCTCTATGGACAGTTTTATATTTATACCAAACACATTTATCACAAACACACAGGTTTGTGATCTAAGTGCCAGCACTGCGGAGATGACTCTGGCCTTCTCCGTAGGGACCTACATTTTCTAAGTACAACGTGAACTGGTCACGCAGACGGAGAGGCTAGGAGAGGAACGTCCGTGTGTCCGGCCATGGCTGTGCCGTGCCATAGGCTTGGGCCGGGCGGGTGTACGGGAGGGTCAGGTCGGCCGCAGGTCTCCTAGCCTGTTGTCACGCCAGCTCTGCCCTGCCGTGGCCTGTGTGGCTTGGACCTTCCCTCATTGCCACTCCGTACTGCCCCAGACTTGTCAGTGGCCAATGTGGGTGCTGCCTCGTGCAGAGTCGGGGCTGCCGGGAGCCCGCAGTGTAGACCAACTGTATTCAGAACAGCACTGGTCGCGTGCTTGGCTCCCAACACCCACATGTGCACGGTGCTGTGGGCGGCTGTGACACTGTCATTTCAGCAGCTGCAGCGGTCAGCTCTGCTGACAGCAACCCCTCAGGGCCACTTAGGACCTGGCTGGGGTTGTCATAAGGATTTGTACAGGCCTCACTCGGGCTAATCCCTTCTCGGGTCAGAGAGAACTGATCGCGACATGTTCCGGTCAGTCACGCACAAGCCCACATGTGGCCATCGCTCGAGGGCAGACTGAGTTAGTTCTGTCCCTCACGTGCTCCACCCCAGTTAAATGGAACCGTATGGCCTGGCTGTGTCACGTGTTCACGGAAACCCACTTCCCAAGCGGATGCCATCGTAAGTCGGGAGTAACATTTCCTTTCCTCGGGGCGGCTGACCCCTCTGACGCCCTGTGTTCAGGGCCGGGACCATGTGTGTGCAGAGTACCCTGGTGCGGCACCACCCTCGTACACAACGGCCGGGCTGTGCTCGGCACTCAGGCGCTGTGCCTGCTTCTGCCTGGAAGGAGAGGGCACAGACGCCACTCCTGTCACTCAGGCCACCCGCAGGGCCTGTTTCATGCTGATTAGTGCTCGTGAGGCCGCCTTGCAGTCTTTGCAGTCAGCACCCAGTGTGAATCGCCGGTAGTCACTAGCTGTGTGACACTCGGCCAGATAGGAAGGAAGCTTTGGAAAACTGGAACTGCAGCATTTACACACTTACATTGTGCAGTGGGTTTGGAAGTGAATTTACGTCCCATAGCCTAGGCCCCTTTCCAGAGTGAGTGGCCGTGTACCTACCTGTGCACTGGGACAGTCCCAGCGACTGGTTTTGATGCCTCTGCCATAGCCTTCTTCCTTGGGGGCTGGATGTGGACACATTGTGTGCCACCCCCAAAGAGGCATGGCCACTGCACTGGGGGTTTCAGCGGCACCAAGTGTCACCCTTGTCTCGATGAGACATTTTCATGGTATTCGATGCACTAAAGTTTTGACGACTGACCACCATTCCCTTTGTACCTCTCAGAGCCATTCTGATGATTTCGTTGATGCGAAGTAACTGTAGAATGATGCCCTCACTTTTTGTTTGTTTGTTTTGAATGTCTGACACCATTTTTCGTGACATGGTTAGAAGTATTAATGCCACAGGCCCAGAAGATGGTCCTCGCGCGGCAGAGAGGACGTGGCGTCCAGCGGGCCAGCATTTCTGCAGAAGCTTAGTCATGAGCCTGGCCCGAGTCCCTCCCGTTTGTGCATTCTGTCGTGCTCTGTGTGCAGGTAGTGTTAGGACGAGAGGACGCAGACCCCGAGCCGGAAGGTAGGTCCAAGCCGTCCCCGGGCCTCACAGATGGCCCACACAGTGTTTGCGTTGGACTCACACTTGCCAGAACTACTTAATAAGCTATCTTAACGATGTGTTTTGCATAAAATGGCCAAAACACAGTAATGTGTATATAGTGGAATAAGACCTTGAAAAAAAAATCTATATATTGTGCTATCTGTGAACGGGAAAAGCCATTTTAGTAGGTGACACCATGGAAAAGCTCACTTGGATGTGTATCTGAATGTCCGTTGTATTGTACAGTACGCATATCATTGTTTGTGGTTGCAATGGCAATGAAGTGTTTGTTTTATAAAAAGACTCTCTGTCCTGTACAGTGGAAATAAATCTTGCATTTGCTAGCCTTTGGTTTCTACTGTTTGTCGCACGGGGTGGGATAGCACAGTCGCTACACACGGGGTAGGCCGTGCTTCCTGTGTGGGCCCGATGGGAATGGCGTCCCCGCTCAGGTGTGTGCTCGGCACAGGCTCGCTCCTTGCTCACTGCTCACCTTTCTCCTTTCAGTCCCCAGAAGATTTGCCTTCAGAGGGAAGCGTTGTCAGTTTCTGTGCACAGATAGAACAGAACTCTTATTTAGAGTAAGGTCAGGTTTTCTGAGTGCCTGCCCAGCAGGCTGGAGGCCAGAGGAAGCAAAGGGAGAGGGGCGGGAAGGAAGGCCTGGCAGCAGGGCCAAGGCCTCTCGGAGAGGATCCTGCCCCACGCTGTGCGGGGAGGTCTGCTGGGTCTGTCTCAGCTAAGGGTGAGCTGCCCCAGGCAGGCCCCACTGGGCTGGCAGCTGCCGAACAGACAGAGTCTGACCGAGGAGGCTGCCCCAGCCTGGGGCACACAGACTCCCCCGCGTGCCGTGAGCTTGAGCTCGGGCTCCTCGTGAGCCAGTCGTATGTCCTCAGCATCCTGTGTGGCTGTGTGCAGTCAGGATCAGGATGGCAGGTGCAAGTGGGGCCAGAGCCCGGGGTGACCCCACTGCACAGCTGCCTGGGCACAGGATCGTGATTTAAAACAGGATTAGTCGATGAGATCTGTGTTTCTCAAACCAAGGTCCACAAGCCTGGGGCCTGGGGCTTGGGGCAAAGCGCTGGATGTGGCAGGCAGACGGTCCACCCTCGGTGCTGCTGTGAACTGGCCGCAGTGCAGTGAGTGGGTATTGCCATGGAGACTGGGGGTGCTGGTGCCTCCAGCCCCTTGGTGCAAGTGTCCAGGTTGCACACTTCACCGGCATGTTCGTGCATCCTCAGAGAAGTGCCACGTTGGTGTTACAGATACCTTGTGTTTCCTTCTATTTCAGTCTGTCTGATTCCCATCTCCACACAGAAACAGCAGTGGTGAGGACGCTGTATATTTATAGACACAGGATTATAGGCCACTCTAGCACTTTCCAGACTGCTACCCAGAAAACTGCAAGATGTTGATACGGTGCAAAAAAGAGAAAAAATTCAGCACTCAGATGAGTTTAGTTTTTATGGCCAGTCTACCAAAAGGCTTTTTTGGGGGGTGCTGGGGATTGAGCCCAGGACTTCATGCCTGCTAGGCAGCCTCTGTGCCACTGAGCTTCATCCCCAGCCCAGCCACCTGGTATGACAAAGATGCGCTGTGAAGCTGAGGGTGGCAGCACCTTGCCTCACCTCTCCTGAGATGCAGTGGGTGCAGAACCCCTCTGACCTCCCCAGAGTGTTTGAGGAACACAGATCTTGACTGTCCTGAGGCCATCATGAACCGTTGATGTATCGGAGCCCAAGTTACTAGGCTTTAAAATAAAGTGCTCAGCCAGGCAAGATGACACACGCCTGTAATCCCAGCTTTGTGGGAGGCTGAGGCAGGAGGATCCCAAGTTCAAGCCCAGCCTAGGCAACTTCGCCAGGTTCAGCCCCCAGTACTGATAAATCTGGTGTTAGAACATTCTCTGGTGGTTCTCTTGAAATGCTTTTCCCAGCCTATATAATTCAGGAAGACTGTTGCGATGCCTCTAAAGATATTTCAGTGATTTCTGAGCTAATTTATTAAATCTGTCTACTCTAAACCTTTGTTCTTAAAAGAAACAGCAAGCCTATTTACACATTTGACTGAGGAATGAATATTCCTTGTTCCACCGAAAAGCTCTACCTCTTTTCAGTCATTTTGCTAGACAGACGTGTGGTATTGAAAGGCAGATGGTGGCCAGGGTGTGATTTGTGTGCAGAGGAACAAGTGGCAGCCACAGAGGTAGACCAGTCCGAGGTGTGGATTTCCGCGCCATGGCTGTCTGGCGGCGCTCATGCAGGGCTGTGTCAGGATCGAGCCGTGGTGCAGCCTGTCCACAGGGTGCATTCTTAAGCTCGCAGTTATATTGTACATCACGAAATCCTTGTGTGCTTTAAGCATCTTTGCAAAGATGAGACCCGTGCAGGGCACAGGGCGCTTCCCTGCAATCTCAGTGATGTGGTAGCCTGAGGCAGGAGGGTCTGAAGTTCGAGGCCAGCCTGGGCAACTTAGCAGGACCCTGCCTCAAATTAAAAGAAATAAAAGTAAAACAGCCAGGGATGTGGGGGAGAGCAGCCCTGGTCCAGCCACTGTTCTGCCCAGAAAGGGGGGTGCTGTCCCTGTGGCTGGTCACCAGGCCCTCTGGGTTTGAGTTTCCTCTTGTGGGCTTTAAGGCTGTTCTCCACAGATCATTTGGTGAGAGGCCTTTGTGAACCAGTGTCCGTCCTCGGTTCTGCGCATGAGCCTCAGCGGGGACCCCTGGGCTGCGCACTGTGTGCCGACCTTTGCAGTTCTCTCTCCTGTGAAATTTGGAACCGCCAGTGCGGGACACAGGCCATCCAGGCGCTCGAAGAGACCAAAGCTGTTAGAGAGATTGGCGGAGTTTAACCTGCCTGAAGTGCAGTCCTGGAAAGCGGCGCGGCCCTAACCCTTTAGAAGCAGAGCGTTGGAGCGGAGCGTGATAGTCGCCTGAGAGCTACTCTTTACCTGTCATGTCACCAGCTGCCCAGGAGGTGCAGTGTTACCAGTTGGTTTCTCCTGGGAGATTAAGCAGGGCGTTTGTTTTCTCTGTAGTGACACAAACGCCAGATCTTTGGAATCCTTTTGTATTTTTCTGGGCAGATTGCACAGGAATTAACTTTACCTTCAGAAGACAGGTGACATCCACACACAAGTGTGGGAGGCCCGAGGAGCTCGATGGCTGGGACCAGGGCTGCGTCTATAGTTGGTCTTTGTGTTTTCCTCTGTGGCCCACATACCTTGGCAGTGTTGCCCTCCTGCCAGGAGAGGCCCGGAAGATAGCCTCTGCCTGTCTCTGCACCCTGTCAGGTTTCTGGCAGGCACATTGTCAGCCTAGCGATGAGTTTAAAAGTGTGTGCCCCCTGGGACCCAGAGACCAGGTCACCATGGGCGGGGTGGGTGTTCCCCTCCCTCCCACAGCACAGACAGGTGATTGCCACTGCTCTGCACAGCACTTGTGTTGAAGACTAAAGTCCCCTCGGTGCCACAGAGCCCTCCTTGCAGTGGTATAAAACGTGCGTCTCGTGACACTCGCCCCAGTGGCGCGGAATCATGCTGGATGGGCAGAGGATGGCAGCGTGACGTTTGTCAGGCTCCTGCCCTCCTGCTTTTGTGGGGGGCCCTGTGATGGAAGGGTTTGCAGATGCACAGGTGGCTGCCTGGGGACCTTGCCCAAGGCTGCGCCCTGAGCTGCCCTGAGGCTGGCAGGCTCTGTCTTACAGAGGAACATGCTGTCCTCCGCAATCCTGCCTTTCAAAAGTTTCTATCATCCTGAGTTTCCATGGTAACAAGGGTGTGCAACGAGTGTGTACACAGGCTCTCAGACTCTGGGGACACAAGGCAGGCGTGTCAGAGGCACAAAGTGCAGGCTAGCCACCATGGCTGTGGTTAGCCAGATGGTGTCAAGCCACAAGCATACTCTCCTCAAAGAAAAACGTATCATCTGTCACAGCCCCACTTGCGAGAGCTTGTGTTCTGTGGTGGGCTGTATCCTGCCCAACTGGCATGATGTAAGGCTTCCAGATGCAAATGACACCCGTTACCATACTGGCGTCATTAAGGAAATCTTTCCCTCCTCGCTCAGGGCAGAAGATTTGATTCTCTTCCCTGCCCTTACGAAATGAGTAATTAGATCTCACGATTGACCTCAGAAGGGTAGATCGTATCTCATTTGTCCCATGCAAGCTTTTGTGCTCTGCTCGGTGTTGCTTAAATGGCATTACATTTTCCTCTGATGTTGCAGTTTACTTCCTTTCTTTTAGAAAAATGCAGTCTGTGTTCCAGGGAATGGAGGATAAAATTTTCACCACATAACAAGATAATAAACTTTACTTTTTCTAACCCATGTGCTGTATCTTTATTTTCAGATGTTGCTGTAGAGTTAAATTGTTTTCATTACAAACTTCTTAACTTATAAACTCTGCATTATATGTTCTATATGGTCCAGTACATGTTTCTAAAATGTCTGCAGTGATACAGTGACTTAAAAATTTGGTTGAATGTCCAAGACGCTGGGTAGACCTTCTGATGTACTCTATGTTGAAAATGTTAGTGTTTAAAAAGATCTGTAATCCAGAGCCAGAAAGTAAAGTTTAATAAATTGGGGAAAAGCTGGTGTTTCCTTTCCTCTGTAAAGCTTTGGGCAAGAAAAAACTGTAGTCGGTAGACAGCTGAAAAACGGTGAAAGATGCCCTTGACTAGTCTGTCGTGATGAATTTTGTCACTGCGTAGTTGCTGGAGGTTAGTGTGTAAGTAATGCTATGTCATCCATTCCGTTTCTCACTGCCTGGCTTTCACCTGAAGTTCTTTTTTTAACCATCCTAGGTTCACGCAAAGAATCTGCTCCACAAGTTCTGCTTCCAGAAGAAGAGAAAATCATAGTGGAAGAAACCAAAAGTAACGGTCAGACGGTGATAGAGGAAAAGTAAGATATCTCCCAGCGGTGGGGCTGCCCTGGAGTTGGGGCAGAGGGAGGACTCCTGGGCGGGCGTGGCAGCTCCCGAAGGAAACCTGGCGGCTGGGACGCCGGATGTCGGCAGCCACACCGCGGGCTGACCGAGACGGAGTTCAGTGCACCCAGCTGCCCCGGCCTGGGGGCCCGTCCTGCTTCCCTCTGACGCCCTGTTCCCCTGCAGGAGCCTCGTGGACACCGTGTATGCACTGAGGGACGAAGTCCAAGAGCTGAGACAGGTGCACTGGGTTTTTTAAAATCTTTTTTGTAATACAAGAAAGAGTAAAGTTATTAAGAATGAAACTGATTGGCCATAAGGAAAAAACACCCAGAGGAGATAGTGATGTTTGGAAATGCAGCATGTTAAGCCACTGGTCTTTGAAGATGTGAGAGAGCGGGCGACGCGTTCACAGCAGTTGCATCCCTCGCAGGGACTGGTGCAGGGTGTGATGCATTCTGATTGGTTTCTTGTTCCCTTCCCTGCCTCCCGTCTCCGCTCTAGTCCCTTTTCCCATTCACCGGACACCCAGCTCCGTTTCCCGTTAGCTGCCTTTTATGGTGCTCTTTATTCGCCCTTTGGGTTTCTCCTAGCAAACCGCGCAACACTGAAGCCTGTGTCCCCGACCGCTTCACTAGTGCCGTGCTCCTGGGGAGCACCGCTTCCTGCGGAGCCCGGCTTCTGAGTGTCCGCGGACGGACCTCGGCCCGGCTGCTGGGGCTGCTGCTCCTCTCGGTTGCCTTTCCTCTGGCGTGTTGGGTGTGCAGGGGTCAGTGAGGAGCCACAGCTCAGCCCCCAGGGGGTGACCGCCATGCTCTGCTTTGCTTTCAGGATAACAAAAAGATGAAGAAGTCGCTCGAGGAGGAGCAGAGGGCCCGCAAAGACCTGGAGAAGCTGGTACGAAAGGTGCTGAAGAACATGAACGACCCCGCCTGGGACGAGACCAACCTGTGAGGACGATCTCTGCTCCCCGGGGCCGGGGCTGGCCCGGGCGGGGTGACCCTGGGGCCTGAGGTACAGACGCCGAGGCCGAGGGCTGCGCGGACCTCTCTGCCAACATCGGTTACCTCATTTGCAGTAAGTGCAGTGACTGGCCAGAGCCGGGCTGTCCAGACTCCCAGTCAGACACATGAACACACCTGTGCACCCTTCCTGTAAATGCCCACTTGGAATGCACACCCACGGCCGGACGCCCGGGCCGCTGCCAGCACCCCAGCCCACTGCCATCATGCCCTCGGCCCGTCTCCATGGTGCTCTGACGCATGTCGTGCCAGGGCGAGTGTCGCAAGCCCCCCCAGGAGCAATGTTCGGACTGTGCCCTGCAGCCAGGTGAGGCAGTGCCGGCCGAGGGCGTCAGCCTGGGCCGGGGACAGCAGTAGCATCCCGCTGTGGAAGTCTGCTCTTCTGGCTCCGGTCCCGGGCTGTGCCGCAGTGTTGCGGGGATCACACCAGCCTCCGTCCTGCCCCAGAGGAGAACTAGAGCCTGTACATAAAATGTTATTTATTGTGACCAAGCAGCCAGTGGAAACAGCGAGGCAGTGCCAGAAGCAGTGCTGACGGTCGGCCTTTCCCCAGGCCGGGCCTCCTCCCGAGGACAACACGGCCACAGTGCTGCGCACCCACAGACATCGCCTTCTTCTCAGCAGGAACAAAGCAATACGCCCCTCGGCTTCAGCGAAGTCACAGACCAGACGCTCTGCCGCACACCAAGGAGACAGCTCTGAGCTGTCCTTGTCGCCTCCCAGGGCCCAGCCCATGGGCCACGAGTCGATTCTGCTTTGGGACTCAGTGACGGTGACCATGAGAACCTAGCTGTCGTTTCTCCCGCTCCGCAGGGCAGAGCCTTCCAAGGGTCAGCTTTTCCGTAAAGTGTTGTCTTCAGGAGCCAGGGCTGCGACGCTGTGGTCTGCACTGCTGGCGGCCTAGTGGCAGTGGGGGACGCTTGAGTCGCGGACCTGTGCCTGCAGCCCATTGGCTGGGCGCCCGGACGGAGTTGGTTTTCTGGTTTTTCCTCCACGTATGGCTAATGACAGTCCCTGCCCAGCCCCGGCTGGCCCTGTGCAGACCTCTCACCAGCTGCCACCTTCCCAGCTTTAGCATTTTATCCATTTGTGCCGGGAGAAGCACAGTCTTTTTTCTTTTCTATAAAAGCCCTGTTTCTACAGGTGTTTTTGGTGACACAGAGGTGTTGCAGAGGAAGCCCTTAGGGTTGAGTGATTTGCGGTCAGAGCAAGTTCTAACTCAGGAACCACTCTCTGGGACACTTCCGCGTCAGGCACGACGCCCCACGGCCCTGCCTTAATACCGCCTGAGTATTCCCACGAACGCTCGACTTTTTCACGTTGCTCCGGCGGGCTGGCCGCTGAGGTTGGATGCGGACACGCTCCCTCCTCGCGAAGCTGTCTTTGGGCTCGGGAGCCGAGTGCGTGTGTCTGCGAGTGATTCTCACTCACGCTACCCTGTTGCACACCCCTCCCTTGTGCTGTGCAACCGTGCAGGACCCCGCAGCCGAGGGCTGCTCCCCGGTGCGTCCTGGAGGGGTGCGAAGAAGCCACCTCCCTCCTGTGGACATGAAGCACTTTTTCAGAGGTGCCGCGGCATAGCCTCGGCCGCAGTCCGCACACCCACCGGCCTCCTGCTTTCCGGAAACGTCAGTGTTGCCGACCGTCGGCGACCACAATGTGCGTGCTACGTCGATGTAACTATTAAACTATTATTTTTCTTATTTCACAAATGTGTCCTCTTTTGGTGCTTCTGCAGTGTGTTTTTGGGCTCTTAGATGTGTCTCGTGTGAGTCTCTGAGTGTGGAAAGTCTCCTTTGCCTTTTGGAGTCAGGCAGAGCGTCCTGGAAGAAAGTGAGATTAGGGAAAGGTGAGGGTCCGGGGCCAGAAGCCAAAATCACAGCTGGCACTGCTGGGTCACACCCGAGCCTGGTGGAGGCAGAGGGAGGAGACCACCTGTGGGGGCGCGTGCTGCTGCGACCCCGGGACTGTCCCGTGGAGGCTGAGGTGCCGGCCCGAGCACGTTGGCCCTACCGTCGGAGAAGGCACAGGTGGCAGCCGGGCAGACCCCGGCTCGAGGCAGACCTCGGGGGTCAGGTGGGGTCCACACTTGGTGCATTCAGGTCAGGATGGCGACGTGACCTGGATGGGGAGAGCACGAGGCCAAGTGAGCAAGGACTCAGCCGGGAAGCGCTGAAGGAAGCACGATCAGAGTGCGATGGTGGAGGTCTGGTGCCTCAGTTCCTGTTCTCGTGGCTGAGACAGAATCCCTAACACCAGAGTGAGAGGAGGAGAGGTTTATTTAGCTCAGTTTGGAGAGGTTTCGGTTCATAGTTGGCTGGCTCCAAGGCAGGGTGGCCAATGGGCAGCAGCGTGTGGCAAGCAGAAGACAGCAGACAAAAGCAAGGGACCACCAGAGCTCTCTCTAAGCCTTTATCCGGGCAGTGGTGCTAACACCGCGAGTTCTAGTACCCTCGATCGTGGCATTTCACCATGACTCAAACAGTCTAGCTCTGGCGGCTACTTCTGACAAAGCCCCAGCTATGACTGCGTGAGGCGTTGTGGGGGTGGGGGGGATCGACAGCAAAGACGTCCGGGGTGGCCCTGAGGGCCTCAAAGATCCAGCCGTGGGGCTCAGAGCTGACTGCTGTCAGGAGGTTTGGCCTGGTGGGAAGAGGCAGTCATGGGGCGTGGCCTGGAAGGTTCCTGTCCTCCCGACTCCTCCTTTCCCTCTGTTTCCTGTCCGCCATGCCCTGAGCAGCTCTCCTCAGCCAGGCCTCTTTGCAGTGATATCCTGCCTTGGAGCAGCCAAACCTTGCCTTAAGTTCGCAGGTCCCAGCAATGAGAAGGTGACTAAGACAGATTGAATCTTTCAGTGTATAAAAAGTATATAGTAGCCTGCCAGGTGTGGTGACACAGGCCTGTAATCCCAGCACTCGAGGCTGAAGCAGGAGGGTTAGTGTGAGTTCGAGAGTTCTAGATTAGCCTCAGGTAACATTGTGTGACCCTGGGTCCAAAACAAAACAAAGTATATAATACCCAAAGTGGGTTAGGGATCAAATTTTGGTTTTAAGAGTTTAAAAAAAAAGTACCATATTTACAGGAAGCGTGACAACTCCAAGAATTGGTGAAATTAGCTTCTGTTTGTAGGGGGCTGACAGCAAACTAACAGTGAAAGGGAGATCCCTTCAGTCAGTGTCAAGGAGCTGTCCAGAGAGGAGGGTGGAGCAGAGATTGGTCGGTGTGACTGTTCTGTTACACTGTTTATGTAAAAACACAACAGTATCTACAGCCAGTTAGAATTAATGGTGCTAGATGCAAGGTTGGTATGGAAATTGATCATATGTTAGGAACAAATGGAGAACAAAATGTCTTCAGTAACAAAAAATTTCAAATATGGATAAACTGAAAGGTAAGATGGGTGGAGTTACTGGATTCCCAATAACTTGCATCCTCAGCTCTTTAATTTTTAGTCATTTTGATTTTTTTCATTCATTTGGGATAGTCTCAATAAGTTGCTAAATTGCCCAGGCTTTGCTGGAATGTGTGGTCTTCCTGCCTCAGCCTCCCAGAGTGCTTGCATGACAGGCATGGCTCACCGTACCTGGCTAAGATAGATGAGATTTTCAAATTTTTAAATTTTTTTTGGTACTGGGGGTCAAACTCAGGACCTTGCGCTTGCAGGGCAGGTGCGGCGGCTCTGAGCTAAATCAGGCCCCCTGAAGGCACTACACCTGGCCCCTGGTGAGATCTTCATGTAGAAAACACTGAGAGAAATCACAGGTCAGATCTGGGACCTGATGTTATAAAGGTATCCCCGATCGCTTTATAGATTTGATGCCATGCCAATAACACCTCAGTTACTGCTTTATCCTCTTCTGGATCATGAAAAATTTTTTTGCAGTTTTGCTTTTTAACTTTTGTGGTACTGTGGAATGGACCCCAGGGCCTTGCACTGAGCTACACCCCCAGCCTTTTTTTCATTTTTGAAACAAGGTCTCAGTAAGTCAAGTTGCCAGGCTGTTACAGGCGTGTGTCACTGTGCCTGGCCTGATTTCTGTGTCACATGGAAATGCAGAACACGAAGGTGGTGAACGCCTCCGGAGGAACAAGGAGAGACTCCAGGTCTGTGTCCCAGCAGGGACTAAACTGATTCGAGGGCTGTAGATGCGGGGCTGCATTGTGGTCCCTGGACACCGTGGGGCTCCAGGAGTCCTGAGGACAGGGCTGCCCTGGCCAGCAGGAAGGGGCCACGAGGCCAAGATGAGGTGGGTCCACTTGGCTTGGAGCAGCAGCACCCGCCTGTCTCTGCCTCCTCACAAGCCCTGTGAGTGTCTAAACTTCCCCTACCCCAGAAGGCCTTTGCCTTCCCTAATTCAGTCAGCAGTGACCAGAGTCCCCAGGGCAGCCACATTGTGAGGAGCTGAAAGTCAGGGCTTGAATACATCTTGGGAACAAAGCTCAAGCCGTAGTGATGAGCTTGTTTGGTCAGTTACTGCCCTCTATGCTGGAAGAGGACCCTGATCGATGCCATTGTGGTCACTACAGGAAGTGGAGGTCTGTGTCCAGTAAATGGGTGTGGAGGGAATAAAGGAATGAGGGGACGGTCCACTAATAGCACTCCAAGGCTGCTCTGCACACCAACTGGGCCCTCCGCCTTCCCTTGGGAGCAGGCCCCCTGAAGGCACTACACCTGCGTTTCCCCACCAGGATGTAGCAGCAGAGCAGAGCAGCTCAGTGCTATAGCCTAGTGTTACAGCTCTGAGGCACAGCTACGCTTTACAGTTTATTGTGGTAGGTCTGGAACACAGCTCTCATAATCTGAAGGTCAGTTGAAAAGGTCGAGGAAAAAAAACCTTTTATTAGGCTGGCGGGCCCTGAGGAGAACTGAGAGGGCTCTGCCAGAAATGAGAGCCTCCTTAAATAGGGATCGCCAGGGTAGGTGAGCATGCTCACTGAAGCAGGGGGGGGCGGAGTTACAGAACATTCCTGAAGCTGAGGGGTGGAGTTATACAGTACATTTCTGAGGGGAGGAGCTCAACAGAACCTTTTGTGGGGGCAGAGCTTAACATTCCTAAAAGGTGACACAGTTCAGTCACAAACCATTTTCGTACATTGGGCAGCAGCACAGCAGCACAAACTAAGGGCCTGTCTTACTGTACAGCACCTCTCCATCAGGGACAGCCCGACAGCGGGAAGCTGCTTTTGGACCTGGCCCACGCTGCTGTTGCGGTGCATGTTTCCTACCATGTTTAATTAGCTCGGTTTACGTGTAAACAAAAGCGGTCAACACTTAATAACTTAATAACTTAATAACTTAATAACAAGGACGGATATGAGTGGCACTCTTCTCTTCCAAATAATGCAGCCTTACAGAACTAAAAGTCCGTGCCTGCACAGTGTGGGGAGATCCCATTATTCGGGATGCTGCTTCCATGGCAACAGCCGGGAGAAGCCACCAGGAGCGTGGCCAGCTGCTGTCTGCAGGGAGGGAGGGCCGCGGGTGTGGTCAGCTGGCTGGCCTGGGTGGGCAGTGGCAGGGGAATGGAGCACCTGTGGCCATGCTTCCTGCAGCAGTTTTTCACCCAGGGCTTGGGGTGCCTGCTGTTTCACTCATCAATGTCCCCTGCTCCCCTGTGAGGCTGTGCCCCTTCCGTACCCCAGCACCCCTAGTCGCTGCGTGTTTTCCTCCACATGACGGTCGGGGCCCCCAGAAATCTGGTCTTCCTCCTCCCTCAGGAGGAGGGACAGAACTGAGGTGAAAAGGGAGGCCAGGCAGGAGTCAGAGACATCTGCCTCCGCCAGGCTGGGCAACCCTTGGGGATGACGTCCCTGCACCACCTTCCTGGACACCTCCTTTCTGGCCGACAGGCTGTGTGGCCCCTTGTGCAGGCAGCATCGGATCAGTTGCTCATTGGAATGACGGCCATGACACATGACCTCACAGGGCTCTGTGATGTCACGGCAGGCAGGGCTCCATGGGGCAGCGGATGGGAGATGGCCAGTTCCTAGGACGGGAAGTTGCTCCCACCTGGAGAACACTGAGTGCGTCTACCAGGACATAGAGACAGGTAGGGCACTGTGCCATCTTGCCGAATGGGCAGGGCTGGGCTGCAGGGCCACCCGCTGAGTGTCCTGTCTTTCAGGTCCTCTGACCCCGGTATTCCCTGCCAGCTGCGACCATGAGATATTCGCCAGAAGTCAAGAAGTCACCGCCACACCTGCTGCAGCAGTTCGCAGGTAACAAGGGTGCTGGGGGTGCGCCCCCTCTGTGCCACCAGGCTCGGGGACATTCGGGTTTTCACGAGACCTGGCGGAGTCTCCATTTCCTCAGTGTCGTGATGAAAACAGCCACACCTAAGGTTTCGTTAACAGTGTAAGAAGCACGGTGATATTCAACTATTTCCCAGGAAGTTAAAGGGCCAGAGGCATTTCCCTACCAGCTGGCAAAGAGATGAGGTGTGAATGTTGACATTAAAAAATTAATTACAGGAAAAGACACAGCCACAAGTCCCCTCCAAGCCCTCCCCGCACTTCCAGCACACTGATCCGTGGCTCTGGCCACCTCTGGCAGCAGCTCTGGTGTCCTCTTTCCTGAGTGTCTTTATGAGGTGTTATCAGAAGTACAGTGACTGCCGCCGCCTAGTGCCCTAAACAAAAAGGCAGGCTCGTAAAAACATGATGCTGGCTGTGGTGGCGCACGCCTGTAATGCTAGCACTTGAGGGCTGGGGTAGGAGGATCGCTGTGAGTCGGAGGCCAGCCTGAACTAAATATGGAGACCCTGTCTTAAAAAAAACACAACCAACCAAGCAGAAAGTGGCAAGGTTGAGGAGATGATCTTGAGGGGAATTCACTTATCCCCTTAATGGTCTTTTGTTGTAAAAAGACTCCAACATTTGCACATTTCCCAAGGGGACCAGAGGGGTCTCGGGGAAGGGGAAGGGCGGCGGCCCTGGGAGAGCTTCATGTGTAGGTGGGTTGGGGGAAGTCAGGCTTCATCCACCTGGGTCCAGGCTTGAGGTGGGAGAATGAGGCCGAGGACAGAGGAGGTGGATGGGAGGTGCATTTATTAGGAAGAGAGAAACAGCTCTCAGTAGTTGGAAGGGGACCAAAAAGTGGGACCACGGGGAATCTTGGTCTAGGCATTTTTATACCAAAAGCATCCAGGGCTCAGACTCAGGTCAACCTGACCTAAATTAGGAAGGGGCCTGTGAGGAGTCAGGTGTGTGTCTGCAGGGCGTGTACCCACTGCTCTGTGCAAGCAGGTCACTAAAGAACAGTGTGAGAGGAAAACCATTTTCCAGACTGGCAGGAGCCAGTCGTCATAGTGGCTGCCCTTCATCTTGCTGTCACCTCGCTTGTCCCATCCCAGACTTAACTGTCTGCCTGGTTCTTGTCAACCCTGACCCCAGGCTCCTGCTCACCTGACCGAGGCCTGGTCACCCTGGCTCTCCTGTGTGCACAGAGCCTCTCTAGCCACCTGCTGCTCACCCATCTTGTCGGTCTGCCATACAAGGCAGGAAGTGGGTGTCCCCAGCCCTTGGACAGCTGGCAGGGAGCACCATGGGGACGCTGGGGCTGGCCTGGCCTGCAGGTTGCTGCTGTCAGGAGGAGCGTCCTCTGTCCCTCCAGCCTGCGGTTCACATGTGGCAATGTATGGCTCGGTTCCCACGTCCCCGAGTGCACTTCCAGTGGCCATTTTGTGGACCTGCGACCTTAGAGCCATGTTACTTTGTCAGAAATTTAATTCGTTCCAGGTCTGCGTCTTAAAGCAAGATATGTGTGACGCAGAACTTTAAGGGAGCTGAGCCCACAACCCAGGCCCACCCTCTCACGTGCTCCTGTTGCGGCTTCTGCGGTGTGGAGTGTGGCTTTGTGCCTGGCAGTGTCAGTGCCATGTTTGTGACTTTCAGTGTGCGACATCCCCTTGTACACCATCTGTGACTACAATGTCTCCCGGGACCGCTGCAAGGAGCTGGGGTGCTGCTTCTACAAGAGTGTCTGCTATGAGAAGGCCGTGCCGGGTGAGTTCCCTGCCCTGTGCTCGCTTGCTCTGTTCCCTTCTGCCCCATGGGTGGCGGGTGCTGACACAGGCTCCGGGTGACTTGCTGCGGGAGTGCATGACTGAGGCCCATGTCTGGTCACCCTGGCTGCTGAGGGCTGGGCATGGAGGCCGATGTGGCCAGGGGAGCCTGGCCCGGCTGGGTAGCTTCTGCCAGGGACAGAGAGCTCAGCTGGGATACTGGCCAGGCTTCCCTGCTCAGGGTCCCAAAAGCAACATGTGTCCTGGGAGAAGGGGGCACCTCTTGCCACCCAGGGTGTCCCAGAGTGGGACGAGCAGTGTGCTCTCGCCAAGCCTCGGGGGCTTTGGAGCCTGTCCATGTCTCCCAGCCCTGGGCTGTGCTGAAGTTTGTGTCTTCCCGCCTGTTTGTCACCACTGTAGCAGTAAGGGTGATAGGGCTGCAGCCTGCACCTCACTCCCTGCAGAAAGAAAGGAGCTCCCACGCCTCCCTTGGCAGAAGTGGAGGGGAAGGGTGTGGGCAGGGCTGAGGCTCCCTGCAGAGGGTGTCCGCCCGCGCCCTGGGAAAAGCTTGGTGCCTGGAGAGAAGATGCGATCTGGCTTCTTAGAAAGCGGAAAAGAGAGCACAGCAAATCTCTGGTGTATGCATCTCCTTTGGGTCTCAGCTTGGGAGGCCTGGGAGCCCCCTTCCCTTCAGGAGAGCCTGGTGCTCCTAAGAGCCCCCCACATATGGGCACCTCTTCTTTCCAAGCCTCTGGCCTCCTACCTTAGAGAACTTCTGCTGGCAGCAGCAAAACCATTACCACGGCCAAGGTCACGAAGATTTGTATTGATAGTGTCTCCTGAGAGCTGTTGTTACAGAGCTCACACTGAGGTCATTGGTTCATTCTGTATAAATACACAGTGTCTCTGTCACACTATGAAATAGGGGCATGAATCCATTCTTTCCCAAGTGAATGCTGAGTTCTCAGCACCATCATGGACAGACTGTTCTTTCTCCACTGAACTGGCGCCCTTGCTGAAAATCAGTCAGCTGGAAAGGTGAGGGTAGCTCTGGACTCTCAGTTCTGTTCCACTGTCTGCATGTCTGTCTTTAGCCAGCACTGTATAGTTTGGGGTTTTATTTTGTGCTACTGGGGACTACACACTGGGGCCTTCTCATTGAGCCATGTCCTCAGCCCTTCTTCTTTTAATTTTTGACACAGGGTCTTGTTAAATCACTAAGTTACCCAGGCTGGTCTTGAACTTGTGATCCTCCTGCCTCAGCCTCCACAAGTGCTGGGATTACTGGCGGCGTGTCCCTCTATGCCCAGCTTCATAGTTTTGATTACTGTAGCTTTGTAGTAAAACTTGAAATCAGAAAGTTTTTCCCTTTTAATATTATTTTGCCTATTTTGAGTTCCTTGCATATCCATATCAATTTTAGAATTAGCTTATTACTTTCTGCAAAAAAGATATTTGATATTTTGATGGGGATGGTATCGAATCTGGAGGTAATTTGGAGAGTTTGCCATTAACACAATGCTACTTTTTCTGATTCACGGATGAAGAATGTCTTTCTATTTATTAAGGCTTTTGATTTCTTTAAATGCTATTTTGTAGTTCCAATTGTACTGATCTTGAGCTTCTTAAGAATTTATTCCTACATATTTTATGTGTTTTGAGATTATTACACATGTCATAGTTTTAATTTCATTTTCAGGCAGTCTATAGGCAGTATATAGAAATACAACTGAGTGTTGTGTATGGACCTTGAGTCTGACAGCCCTGCTGAATTTAAGTATTAGTTTCTCTGGATAATTTAGGACTTTCTATAGAAAATCAGTGCAAATACAGATGGGTTTGCTTCTTCTTTTCCAGTCTGGATGGCTTTGATTTTCTTGTTTCATGATGGAAATGTCCAGTGATATGGTGAACAGAAACAGTGGGACTGGAAGCCCTGGCCTCTTGCCATAGTTTAGCCCATTAGCTGTTATTCACTTCAGTCCTTTGATGGTTGAAGTAGCTGTTCTGAAGTCCTCCCCCTGTCGGGACAATGTCGCGGCCACCTTGGGCAGTTCGTGATGTTCTTCCTGTATGTCGCTGCACTTTCTTTGCATGTCTCGCTGTGTTGGTTGTCGAAAACTGGACCTTGTAAATACTGAAGTCAGGTTCTCTCCTGACTCAGGGCTTCCTGTTGCACTGTTATTCTTTGATAACTTTTTTCTGCATGAAGTCTGGAAAGCCTGTCTTTGGTGGCACTGGCCTCTGAGAACTCTGCTTGCTCAGCCTCGTGGTCAGCTGGTAGCTGGGCAGAGCATCCCTGCCAGGCCGGGGACAGTCTTTGTCTCTGCCACTTCTGCCTGGGTCTCCACTTCCTGCTTGCTGGGAGCCTCAGGACTGTGTCTCGCTGCACCTGGCCCTTCCTTTCCAGCTCTGCTCTGCCTGCTGCTTCTGAGCTGGTGCACCCCCTCACGATGTCCAGCACTTGCTGGGGAGGAGCCCAATTTGGCTGCCTTGCATGTGGGGTCCTCTGAGTGGGGGACGCCGGACTTAGGGTGGACAGCGGCAGATGACGGCAGTCCTCTGGCAGGGGCTCTACAGGGCTCCTGGCTGCCAGGCCCTGTGCTTGTCTGACTGTGGGCTGGGGCTGGATGGCGGCAGGAGAGGGGCATAGGATGAGGAGGTGCCCCGGTGTCTGTGTGGAGTCTACCACTCTCAGCGAGCTTTTGCTTAATTCCCAGCTGCTGAAGTTTTTTCTGACAGCTTTGCCTGTTTTCTCCCTGTGTTGAAGGCAGTGGGAGTTGGGTGAGTGCTCGCTGTGCCATTTGGCCAGCACCACCCTGAAAATGAGTTCTGGACCCCTAGTCCAGGAGGCCGAGAGTCATGGTGATGTCCCCTGAGCGGCCACAGGTCCTCTGGTGCCAAGCTGAGGCCGCCCCATGGCTAGCATCTTCCCTGAGACACCTTCCTGAGTCCCTGGCCTGGCAGGGCCAACCAGTGGCCACAAACTGCGTCCCAGGGCTCCGACGGGTTTTTCCGAGGCCGAGCCTGGCCTGGCGGTGGCTTCACCATCATCTGTGGCTGTTCCTTGCACTCACCATTTTCTGTGGTCTGTGTATCGGTGGCTGGTGGCCACATCTCTGCAGCTGTGGAGTCTGGAGCACTTCCTGTCCCTCATGGGGTCCGCTTCTTGAGGACCCCCATTTCTGGGCACTGATGCATCTTAGGTGTCCTGGGAACATCACTGCCCAGGGCTCCTATGACAGAAACACGAGCATCTGGAAAGGATTTGAGGGAGTACCGTCCAGTTCCAGGCTGTCCCGGGGCTGGCTGTCTTCTCCGGCACCCAGTCAGCTCAACTTCCTCCTACCCCAGCGAGGCAGCAATGCCATGGAGGGAGACGGGATGATCACTCCAGGCAGGCCCCAGCTGCTCTTTGGCCTGTGCCTCTGTCCGAGCAGCTTTTCATCAGAGTTGGATGCAGGCCCTGGCTGGTCTGCGAATGGTGTGCATGCATTGCATGTTGCTGACATTGCAGCCATCACCTCTCGCCTTTCACCCACCGAAAAGTGGACTGGGTTCTCTGCAGCACCTCAACTGCCAGTGTCCCTCAGGAGCCCAGCAGAGAGCACAGGTCCTCGACATACACCCTGCTGCAGAAGCCACCACGAACCCTCTTCCACCCTCTTGGCTCTGACAGTGTGGGGAGTGGGCTACATGTTTTTCTTAACTTCTGATGTCTCTCAAATCAGGAGTTGGGCCGGCTGCAGGAAGAGTCTGGGCAGTGAGCCCTACATTTGGGTTCTCGCTGTGCCCTCAAATTATTTTTCATTTCTTTGACATCTTTTTGATTCAAGACAGCACATGAACCTTTGTGCTGTGTAAGTTGTAGTATTCAGTGACAGGGTATTATGAGTTCTTTGTGCACATAATTCCATGTTATGAAAACCTTTCACCAACTTCTGAAATCGGCTGGTTTGAAGTGCATATTGTGTTATGGCATAATCTGTATTATTAAGAATATGAACTTGGAGAATTAGCATTAGATCTTTCAGAAAGGAGTGGGAAAGAAAAGAGAAAGACTTGCCTTCATTCTTTGGTCTCGATTTAGGGTACATTATTTAACATGTCATTTCTCCTGAGTATTTCACTTCAGTTTCTTCACAGGACTTGCTGAGATGATTTAAAAACTTTTGCTTAACTATATTCAGGGTGAAGTTACCAAGATATTCCTTAAAGAACAGAATCCTTTCTTCAATTGCCACTGTTTCTGGGAGCTCCATTGTGGTTTCCAATAAAAGCCACACATATGATGAGCAACAAGGCGTGTTGCTGGCCACTGTGGAGAGACAGAGACTTCGTGGCTGCCTTGGCTTCCCATCCAGAAGCGTGCAGACAGAGAGGGCAACAGTGTTGGCCGAGTCTGTGTCCCGCTCACAGACAATCCCGAGGTTGTGCTGTGAGCTAAGACACAACCATCATAGAATAGGCACTCCTGGAATATGAGGATTTTCCTTCTTAAAATCCCTAATACACTTCTGCCCTGTACTGGTTCATTTCTTTCGGTTTGGTTCTGTCAGCAATGCGCACTGTGCACTCTCTTCTTGTATTAGATCGTGATGACTGTGTAACCAGCAGCTCCACACTCAGCTGCATGGACGGCACAGTGTCACCAGGGCTGGGTCCCTGAGCACCGACACGCCGGGGCTCTGCTCTGGGAGACTGGCCTTGCTGTGGGTGGGTTTTAGTGTTCCTGTCCTCACGACAAAGGGACTCTGTCTCCACACCGGTGGTCTGAGAAAGAGCAAGGTGGGAGGCCCTGGGGCTTTCTGAACTGGCCGTGGAGGTTCCCTTCAGTGTCCCCTTAAAGGAGTCAGCCCTGTCCCTTGAGGGTGCCTTTCTTTGGGGTGTGGGGACTGGGCCAGAGCACCTGAGGCTGCCTGGGAAGCCACACGGTGGCTGAAAGCAGGCACCTCCTCTGTCCTGGGCAAGCTCCCTCGGACATCATCAGTGAAGCGGGAGCCGCCATGTCCCACGCACAGCCTCCTCCTGATGGCCACACAGCCCCGCTTCTTCTGTCTAACCTCTCCAGCACCCTTGCTGACAAGAGTCACCTTATGGGCTCTCAGTCTTCTCCCCTTTGCTCCTCTGACTTCAGGGCCCAAGTGAGGGATCCACATGTATTTCTAGACACCTGAGGGGCCAGCGAGGGATGCAGGTGCCCTGGACTCCTGCGGTCCTGCCACCGTGGGTCACTTACTTCCTGTGTGAATTGTGTCTGCCCAAGCTGTGCTCCCATCTCTTCACCTGGTGCCTGTGTATGTGGCCTTGTTTGGAAAGAGGGTCTTTGCAGAGGGGTTGTTAGGATGGGGTCACACTGGATAGGATGCGCCCCTGCTCTGATACCACTGGTGTCCTTGGGGGAATGCAGAGGGGGGCAGGAAGCGGCAGTTGGTGAGGGGCATCTAAGCCTGAGTTGGCAGCAGCCACAGTCTCCAGGAGCTGTTGGGGGCCACAGTCCTGCCACACCGCGTCTGGGACTCCAGGCCCGCAGAGCCCCAAGGCACTAAAGTCCTGTTCCAAGCCCCCTGGCGACATCCATGTGCTCTTTATTTCTGGGTGGCCATGCTTGGAAGGGACAAGGGAGGCCAGGCGAGTCCCCTTGTGCCAGGCCAGGCTCTCTCCCTGGGGACAGGAGCAGAATGCTGAGGACGCAGAGTCAGCAGATGGCAGTGCACAGACTGCCCTGCCCTGGATCCTCCCCAAGGTCCTTCTCCAAGAACCCCGAGCTGAGAGTTGGGGTGGGGCTCTGCAGGACGTGACAGGGACGTCACTGAGCAGAAGGGGCGGCAAGCAGCCCTTCTGTCCACGCCGCCACTGGCTCTCCCTGAGTAAACTGCCGACCCGGCTTGTCTTGCAGTCTATGTTCATGTGTTCTCCATCCTGGTCACGATCATCGCTGTTACCTTCATCGTCGTCATCGTTTACAAGTGGGTCCTGCTTCTCCCCACCCTAGCTCTCCCAGCTTTCTGGGGTGGACGATGGCTGCTGGAAGGCAGGGGCTGCCTCCTTCCCTCAGAGCCTTCGCTGTGGCCATTGCCCGGCATTTGGTGGCCATGCTGTTGGCCTTCGTCACGTCAGGGTCCCATGGTGCCTGGGAGGGAGGCTGTGTGTCCCCGGCGCTCCTAGTGCTCAGCTGAAGTCCTGTCCATGGCACGTGTCCTGCCTATCTATGGACTTGAGCTCAGAGATGGGGTCCTCCCCCATCTCCACAGAGGGGCTCAGGCCATGCAGCCAGGCACTGTCCTTCACCCTGGCCCAAGCACCTATTGCTCCGGGCCCCTCCTGACTTAGGTCATCTTGCGCAGCAACAAGTAGCATCCTCCTGGGTGACTGACCTGCTGTGACTTGCAGCGTGAGGTGGCAGGAACGCCGCTGTCTTGGAACTGGGGTGTGGGGAGTCAGGGAGGCCCTGGGCCCCAGAGCACCTGTCTCCTACTTCCAATGCTGATAGAGAACCTCTCCCCCCAGAAGAGTCCGTGAGAGGAGGAAGCAGAGATTCTCACAGAGCCTACTCTGCCACCCGAGGCCAGCAATGAGGCTGCTGTCACCTCCCAGGATGGACAACTGACATCACAGCTATCCAGTGGCACTGCCTCCAAGAAGAGCAACGAGAACATGGAGGAAGGTAGGTCTGTGCTGTCCTGGGTGGCAGCCGGCCCGGCCTCCACATCTACCAGAGACACTGGGCACCGGGCTGGCCCTGTCGCCTACTACAGTTGTGTTTTAGTGAGGGCAGAACTCTAATCTGTGTGACCACAGAGGTTTGTCAGGCCGGCCGCACTCCAGGGCGGGGTTCTTTGCTTCCTCCTGGTTCCCTGCTGTACCAGTGCTGTGGTGACTGCATGGCATGTAGCACTGGTGACTGTCCAGTGCACTTGCAGAAGGTTGCGGCTGCTGGTGGCTGAAGACGGACATGGCTCTTAGAGGCCTTACCGACAGCCTCTGGCTTTCTTGGGCCAGCAGTTGCTGGGGCAGGTGGGGCATCTGACTGGGCTCTGCGCTGAGTGTGTGTGTGTGTGTGTGTGTGTGTGTGGCAGGTACCCGCGTCCCTGTCATCAGCCATGTGGCCCGGGCTGCATCTGAGCCACCAGAAACGTGGTGCAGAGGGAGGCTGTGGCCTGGGGGTCTGCACTGCCTGTCCCACCCAGTGCCACATCTGTATGGCAGTACCCAGCCCCCAGTACACACGCCTGCTTCATCCTATGTGTGAGACGAGCAGGGATGCAGCCAAGAACACTGGCTTCTGCGTGAATTACCCAGCACCCCAGTGTAGATGTGTTCAGTCTCTGGATTGCTCAGTTTGCCAGCTGAGACACAATGCTGTTTTTTTTTTTTTT